AGTAAAACTACAATGCATAAAATTAAAAAATGATCAGTTGGACTTTATCAAAGTATAAAACTTTTTGTTAAGCACACTGATAAAGAATGAAAAGACAAGCTACAGAACAGGAGAAAATATTTTCAAACCCTATGTCTAATAAAAGACGTATCACGAGGGTACAAGAACTCTCAAAACTCAACAATATGAAAATAAACAACCCAATGTTTAAAAATGGGCTAAAGACTTAAATACACATTTCACCAGAAAGGATATACGGATGGCAAATTAGCACCTGAAAAGATGTTCAACATCATCAGTCATTAGGGAAATGAAAATTAAAAACATGATGAGAAACCTCTACATACATATTAAAATGGCAATAATAAGTTAATTAGCAGTAATAGTATCAAGAGCTGGTAAAGACAGGGGACAACTGGAACTCTCATACATTGTTTGTGGGAATGCAAAATGGTACAGCCACTCTGGAAAACAGTTGGGCAGCTTCTGCAAAATGAAATATATACTTACAATATGACTCAACAGTCCCCCTCCTAGGTATTTATTCAAGAGAACTGAAAATGCATGTTCACACGAAAACTTGTGCATGAATATTTATAGCAACTCTATTTGTAATCACCAAAGTTGGAAACAACCCAGTGTTCCTCAACGGAACACATCCATACCATGGGGTACTATTCAGCAGAAAAAAAGGAACAAGCTGTTGATACAGGCAGCAGCCTGGTGGCTCTCAAAGGCATTATGCTGAGTGAAATATAAGCAGTCTTAAACGATTTCACACTGTATGATTTAATTTATATGACATTTTGCAGAAGAGAAAACCATACCAAGCAAGATCAGTAGTTGCCATGTGTACAAAGAACTGTACACCAAAAAAGGAAGTTTTACTGTAAGTTACTTTTAAAAATAAAATGAAAATGGCAATGTAAACCCATTATGCAAATGTAACACATTTTTATGAAAATTAACCATATTTTCAAAAACAAAAAAATTAGTATAAACAGTGGCATTGTTTTACATTTCTGTAAATTTCTTTACCACTGAGCTTAGCAAAGACAGCTGTATTCTCATATCTCCTTCTGTATTCACTCTTTTGCCATACCATCTGTCATATAGTCACTGGAAAACCCCACTAGACACTTGAAAGAGAATAAGAGTGAAAAAAGCAAATAATTTCTTAGTATTATTATGATCATTGTTTTGACTCTATGGACCACCTGAAAAAGTCTTGGGGATTCCCCAGGGCTCCTGGACCATACTTTGAGAACCACTGATATATAAGGTACAATTCCAAATTTTATTTTCATAGCATCAAGACTTTTTTTTGCCATACCCATATTTCCTATGTTTATTTAATGCTTTTGTTCAAACTAACCCATTTTTTAAAACAAAATTTTTTAAAAAGAAACTTTCTGTATCTCCTATAAATGGGAAGCGCAGTACCACTTCCCCATAAGTGGAAAGTTACTACAAGAATAAATATGCAATGAGTAAGTTATATTGAATTTTAAAAGATTTATCCACGAACCATCTAAACTCATCTCTGTGTGGTACTATTTGGAAAACACTAATTCAGAGAAACAAGGACAATGATGTGACATACCACTTCATTTATGTTGACAAATTTAATCCTCACCATTACCATCAGAGATAGACAGTATCACTAAACTTTAAAATTTTAAAAAATGTGTGTTTAAAAAATGGAAGCACAATAAAGTTAAAGTTGCCCAGTGTTCCACAGGGAGTAAATTGCAGGGCTGGGATTTGAACCCAGGCAATCTGGCTCCAGAGTCCAGGATGAATGCCGTGTGGGCAGATAGGAAACTTGGATTCTTGTCCAACTTCCACCTGCAGTTGGCAGTAGGACATGTCACTGAGTCTTACTGTCCTCAACATTGAAGTGACGGAGGTGGGATAAATTAGGGCATGGGAGTTTAAATGATGGGTGCCTGTCCAAGGGGCCAGGCAGGTATGGAAACGGTGGGCTGAATGGAAGTTGACAGGGAGTGGTGGGGTCAGTGGCAAACCAGAGGGCTTGCATTCCATCTAAAGAAAGCAGCTCTTACTCAGTTTCAACTTTTCTGTTTTGAGAGGGATTTTCTGGGTTAGTTTTTTTCAGATGTCACTTTATTTTATTTTATAAGAGGAGTTAGAAGTCTGGAGACTTTGTGTAAAATTTCTCAATTTGTACAACACTTGGAGAGGCCAGCCACACACATGAGCTGGCTGATATATGACCAGATGATCTCCTTTGACTTAGAGGAATCCGTGATTGAGTATGCTGTTACCACACAGTTGGAGAAACAAAATCCAAATGACAGAAATAGGCAGCTTAAAGCAATGATGAAAGGGGATATGAACTTAGAAAGTGTCCCAACTCAGTCTATATAAATATTGATTCGGTTCTGGGTTAAAAGAGCTAAGGTGTGTTAATAGAATAATAGTGTATTTCTTTATGTTTATGAGAGTAAGTCAGCAATACTTATCTAGTGCTAATTTTTGGTTTGCAGAGAGCTAATGTAATCATTAAATGAGCTTATTGAAATTCTCTTCTTAGACATAGAGACTTGCCCAAGAATGGTATTAGGAACTTCAGTCAGCGCTGGCACAGAATAGTAAATACAAACACGTGATTTGTGCCACTGTGTATACAGAGTAATGTTAGCTGAGACGCTTTCTGTATATGTTTTGGCTGTTTTGCTCTTTGGGGTTGTTTAGTTTCTTTCCCCTCCTCTGCTTATCAGATCTCGTTCTAAATCCTGGCATTTGACAATGTTGTAGGGCTAGTTTCTCTGAATCCACAGTGAGACATACTGGTGGTTTCACAATTAATCCAAACTTGGGTTTATGGCTAATATGTGTTTATTTGAATTCCTGCATTTATTTTTATGTATTGTGTATATACATAGTACTCAGAAAGCCTGTTTCAGAGAGAAAGAGGAAGGAAGACTAAATCTATAGACTGAATCTTGAAAGATGGGTTTATTCATCAATGACATCATAAGGATTGTATTTTCTCTTGGTTAATAAACGATTTGTTTGGCGGGTGTTGGAAGCCAGCCAGAGCTAGTCATGCCATTTCTTGGAAAAGATCTGAAGCAACTGGTAATTGAAATGATAATCATTTGATCATAGTTAGAGCTATTTGAAAATAACACTCATCTCCAGACTTGTCTCTTCTAGGGAACCATATTTGGTAAAACTGTTGCCAAATTCCATTTTTGCTAATGTTGAGCCTTGTATACCATGATACTTAATTATTTTCCAGTATATTCTAAACTTGATTTCTGGTTTGCCCTTTCCAGAAGCTGTTCCCATATGCTTTGAAACAATACCCAGCCTGAATTTTTATTCTGGCATTTAATAATCACCATGTAATAGCTATAAAATGCGTGACAACTACAGATCTTTTATTTCAAGAGGATGGTGTAGTGAGTCTGAGTGAAATCATCCATTGAAATGGTACTTTGTAATATGCCCCATTGTTTATAAAGTATTGACTTTTTTTTTTCTTGAGCAGAAGATAAAAACAGTTCCCGCTTTGTCTCCTATTTAGTGGAAGTTCATATTTAATCATGATAAGGGAAAGGATTCCATTACAAAAGTTTTACTTTTCATTTTTGATCGAGATTTGTTATTTTGCTGCTACCTAACAAACTCTTCTCAGAGGCAGCTTGGAACTGGATGAGGAAAAGTGAAATTTTAGATCCTACCTTAAAACATTTTAAAAAGACTAAATGTTTTCAAATCCAGGGCTTTTTTACTGTTTGAAGCTTATCTTAATAAACCCTCTTTTGTTTGCTTGGGAGTAGTGTGTACAGGGTGTGTGTGTGTGTGTGTGTGTGTAGGTGGGAGAGAAGAAGGAAAGAGTCATGCTTTATAGAAAAATTAGCCAAAATCACTTGTGAATTCCCTTTGTTTAATAGCTCAGAGACATCTTCCTGTTGTTGTTTGTCAAAAATATTTCTAAGATTTTGTAAGTTTAGGGGTTTTCACAGCTCAGCTTTCTTCAGAAATGTGAAGTAAAAGAAATGAAAGAAGTCAGTTCAAGTTGAAATGTCAAATGCTTCAAATAATCTAACTTTAAACCCAGTGAGAAGATCTTCTTAAGCCTTTTCCAAAGAATCTTCAGGAAAGAGAGGCCCTCCTTTGCTCCGTGGATAGATATCTATTAAATATCTTGTTGGATTAATTCTGAGTCAGAAAAGTTGGTTGTTTCCTGGAAGCAATTGAAGATGCTTAAAATTCAAATTTATGATCCATAGGAGAAACTTAAGTTTCAACTACTTTTCTTAGATTCAAAGGCTCTCTCCTCACCCGCCCTCTTGCCTCTTACCCCATATGTATTAAGAGAAAAAATCAGTTCATTTCTCAACTTACAAAGTTTTTAAGAAACTTGAGAATGTGTAAGTTTCTTTCAGTGGGAAGCACATAACATTTATGAAGTATTTCTTTTGGGATTACATCACAGTTTTATTTAATTTTAGGACAAAAGTTAAATTCAATATTTGTGTATAAGCCAAGGGAAAATGTACCATAAACATAGGAATTTGGGGGTGAGTCAGAGTTCCAAGAATCCCAGATTTACTTAGACCATTTATATAGAGACAGGCTAACCATTAGTCATCTACTTCTCGCTTTTTTACTTTTGTAATTAATGGCACCTAAAAATTAGCTTTCACCCAAGTGGTCAAAAAGGGAGACTGAGCTTTGGCAACTAGCATTAAAAATCGCTATTAGAATTACTGACCAATTTTTGGACATTTTCTAAGCACATAACAAAAAAAATCCTATAAATTACACCTTAGCTAGACCACAAGCAGTGAAAAACCTTTGAAATGAAATGAGTTATTGAAGGTCCTCTGTCACCAAAAAAACACATTGTCTGCTCACATTAGATTAAACTACTCAAATGGTATTTCAGATGGGCTTTATTGAAAAATTTATTATTTACTTCAGAACCACCAATACTGTTGTTCTCTCCCAACTACCTCTTGTAGGATGAAGTCATTGCTGTTTCCGAAAAGGTGATTGTGAAGCTTGAAGACCTGGTCAAGTGGGTACATTCTGACTTCTCCAAGTGGAGATGTGGTCTCCAGGCTGGGCCAGTGAAAACGGAGTCCCCGGGAAGGAATGGACAGAAGGAAGCACTGCTGAAGTACCGGCAGTCAACCTTGAACAGTGGACTCAACTTCAAAGACGTTCTCAAGGAAAAAGCTGACCTTGGTAATTATCCTTTGTATTTCTAAATCTAACATGTGGGCACATACAGTAACCACTTCTTTTATTGTAGGTTTTTCTGGAAACCCTGTCATTCATATCTGTGTGTGTGTGTGTGTGTGTGTGTGTGTGTGTGTACATATATATGTATACATATGTAATTTCTTTAATCTCAAAGGGACCTGGGAATATGAATGGATAGATGACTGGGTGTGTAAGAAATGGATGTTACCTGTTGAATCACAAGACCTTCTATTTATGGAGCCCTGTGCTAGAAACTGGATGATATAACACATAGCATTTAGCAGCTTCCAGTAGCTTCCCTCATAGCTCGTTGGTGAAGAATCCGCCTGCAATGCAGGAGTTCCCGGTTGGATTCCTGGGTCAAGAAGATCCTCTGGAGAAGGGACAGGCTACCCACTCCAGTATTCTTGGGCTTCCCTTGTGGCTCAGCTGGTAAAGAATCCACCTGCAATGTGGGAGACCTGGGTTCGACCCCTGGGTTGGGAAGATCCCCTGGAGAAGGGAAAGGCTGCCCACTCCAGTATTCTGGCCTGGAGAATTCCGTGGACTATACAGTCCTTGGGGTCGAGAAGAGTTGGACACGACTGAGTGACTTTCACTTTCACTTTCAGTTGCTGTCAAAGCTTAAGTCTTAATTGAGGCACCCAAAATTGAATGAGTGGAGAGTTTAAATATTTGTTTTGAGTAGATAATATGACATTTATTAGGACTGTGTCAGGAAAGCAAAATGAGGAAGACAGATGAATTACTTAATGTGGATCAAGGGGGCAATGTCAGAGCAAGGGAATCTCTGGTTGGCAACTCCTGGCCTAGGTCCCCCAAGAATTTTTAGTGTTCAGTGGTCACCATCAACTATGTGGTTTTTTCTTTCCTTCCTTCCCCTATTCCACTACAGCTTTAAAGGAGAATTTGGGATTCAGTGTCATTATTTTGTTTAGTGTTTGAATCCTGCCTCTGTTGCTTACTTAGCTGTGTAGACTTGGGCAAATTAACCTCCAAGCCTGGAAAATGTGAAAACTTTTCAGGGTCACTGGGAGATGTAACACCCAGTGATAGGTGTATATTGGTGTATGGAAGGAGCTCTATAATTTATTCTGTTGCTTTTTCTTAACACTGTCTTCTCCAATGAATTTTTTGTGTCCTTTCCTGTTTTTTTCTCTTTTGTGTCTCCTGGGTAGCGTTCACTGACTTACTTTCCTAGCATTGCTCAAGACCAACGTTGTTGACCTCTGATTTAGACCAGTTATTTCCTCTTTAGGCAAAGAGGAACTTCACTTTTAACATATTAAAGCATCTTTTTCTTTCATTCTAGCACAATGCTGATTTTCATAGCCCTATTTTATGCGTTAATGTGACAACTTCCTGTTTTTTCTTTTAACCTAGATTTTAACTACTACAACAAACTTAGACTATTTTAATTGGCATAATGAGACTAAATAACACCGGTAACTGACTTGTCTTTTGTGTGATTCTGGTTCGTGATGAGCTATGCTGTATTTTGGGAATAGCATTAATATTTTCTTGCAGTTTGAGTTTAATAATCAACAGTTTCTTGGCATCTTTTGTTAGATGTCAGACAATAATATTTTGGTCATGGTGGCCCAGTTGTCATGTGCACATTTAGAGAAAATTATTAATCTATTGGTTTTTATTTTAAAACCAAAGAATTTCTTTCTTTTCTTTCTTTCCTTTTTTTTTTTTAAACTGATTTTCTTATATAGGCTGTTACAAAGGCCAATTTTATGAACACATGTGACTAGCCTTCTGACATGTGGTAATGCTGAATAATACAGCTGTTGTGTTACTTGCCTAATATATGATCTAAACTGTATTGCTATTGTCTTATGTTTTTCTTAACATTAAAACCTTCCTTTTGTTTGTTTGTTTTTTTTTTAAGTTATGAAATATACTGTTACTAATAAAAAACTAAACAGGAAACCCATGGGGGACAAAAGGATGTGTAAATGGTTAAGCTTGATGTCACACATATAAACAAGAGTATTTATAGCAGAGCTGTTTTTATATTTAAAATTATTAATGAATGAAAAGAAACCCAACTTCTTAATTTCATCAAGACATTTAGAGGTTTTGATCTTCCTGAATTCTAAAAATGTCCATAATGTAACTTTTTAATAATTTATTCCAGAAGAAATTGGTTTATAGTGCATATTCAAAGTACTTAGTGGTTTTTAAATCTTGTTGTTCGTTAGACTCACTTAGAGAAATTTTTTAAATAATACTGATTGCTGAGGCCAGTTTTCCCAGATTCTTCATTCAGTAAGATTGAGGCAAGGCCAAGGAATGTGACCTGATAAAAGTATCTCTAGATGACTGATTTTTTGGGGGGGTTGGGGGTGGTCTCATTTGGGAAACAGTTCTATGATTAGTGCAGAGGAAGGGAAAATAAGCAACAGGAGATTTGACTGGGAAAGCCCTCTGAAGAATAAGGAACACTGTGTATTTTTCTCTCTCTTTTTTTAATGTAAAATACCTCTTTAAGGATAGAATTTGGGGCCTTGAAATTCTACTTAGTTGGTATGAACTGTGGGGAATTTGAGACAAATAGCTTTTGTAATTGGAATGCACACTGTGTTGTAATAATGTGGAAAGAGAAACAAAAACTTTCCTTAATGTAATGAGTTTCCATTATCTGCTTGATCTAAGGGTTGCAAGTCTACATTGTGAGGATTTATATTGGGGAGATTGGGGGTGTCCTTTGCCATGTGCATTTCTGTCCCAACAACTTTCTCTTCAACCTCTTACTTTCTCTGTCTGCAGCATCAAAATATTTGTTGTCTGCACTTTTCTTTCTACACAGTGGTTTTCTTATCTCCCTTTCTCTTGGCCACACTGAAACCACTTCCAATACCACATTGTTGATGGAAGTTCACACACTTATTAGGTTTTTCCTTCTGTAGAACCCTTCCAGCTCCTCATTGTTCTTACCAGGGAAAGAAGATGAACTCTGAGATTACTTAAGACCCCCTCCCTCTTTTTGTCTAGCAGAAGTAAGGAAAGAATAGACTGATCTCACCTTCCCGTGGATAAAGGAAAACTCCAGTGTGTTATTTTTCTGACTGAACTATTTTGCAATATTAAAATATCAATAATAACAAAATAATTTGGTTGACTCTTAAAGAAGGGATTTTACCATATAAAAGCTATTTAAAGAACTCTTCTTGTTCAATGTTTAGTTAGAATAAGTCCCCTTTAATCCCAGTTTGTCACTTCCTGTCTCTCTGAATAGTAAAAAAGAAAAAAAAAGAAAAAAGAATGTTCTCACAAATGTGTTTCTGCCAACAAATTAATACTCCATAAAGAGAAACTCTGCCCCAAATGGCAGCTTCCAATAAGTGCTCTGACTCAAATCATCAAATCACTACTCTTTCATTTTTTTAATCCCCTTACCCTTCAGGGACAATATTTGCGGATGTCATGTTTGCTTTTTAAAAAAAAAAAAAACAAAACCTATTTAAGATCGTAAATGATGACTAAAACTGCAGATCTAGATAGTGTGGAAAGTAATAATCTTAAAAAACACTTCTGAGATGTGCGAGTACACTCGTCCCTTTCCCCCTTCTTTGTCCTTTTCAAAGAAAGAAAGTTCAATATGAAACCAATTCAAATTGTGACTTTACTCAGTGAAATATTTTACCTTCTTTCAGACAGTTTCATACTGAAGTTTATAGAAAAAGGAGGGAAAAAAATAACTATGTTAAAATAGAAGGGTTAAGGAATGTATTATTCATAAGCATAATGAACACAGGAACCTGTTTTTCCAGAAGAATCGGGTTGATTAAATCATTCACTATACAAGCCTCTAGTTATTTATTTTTGTCTTTAGAATTACAGTACTTAGCGTTTGTAATAAAGTGGACCTGATACCCATATTTGGTATGGCAGTTGGAACTAGTCAAATGAAGAATTATTTCATTTTACGAAACTTTTAGCAACTAAGGAATATAAACACTATCAGTTAAACATAGCATACTTGCAATTTTTTTATTCCTTGGGCTAAAGTTTGAAAAAAAATCAAATTATTTTATATAACACTGCTTCTTACAGAGTTCCTTTAAGTGAAGTATGAAAGCTGCAGTGTAAGCTTTATTGGCCTATAAATATGTCATTATAGTTGGACTACATTTATATGCTTTGGATTGTTGTTTAAGCCAAGAAAATATGTCTCTACAGGTTGACTTTTTATTGAAACCCTTTGAGGCATACAACAGAACGTATTTTAGGCCAAGGTTATTAAAGCAGCATTTTCTTTTTCTTTTTTTTTTTTTGCAGCAGACTCATTGTCAATTATGCTGCCACAAATTGTCTGTGAATGGACAGCTATGAATGGTTTCATCTCCAAATGTGTCTCTAGAAAAAGAAAGAAAAGATAGGGGAATCTGAGCTGAAATTGAGAAAAGAGACCAAAAGATGTGGGTGTGGGTAAGGCTGAATTTAATGATGGGGGTTCCTTCAGTTCGATTTCTGTTTCTAGAGTCCCATCAAATTGAGAAAGAGTGCCTTCCCGGGTCTCTTCTGTTGTTGAGACTTCTACTGTACCTTGGGGAATAGATAGCATTGTCAGCATAAAGGAGTCTTGGTTTGGAGGTCAGGAGAATCTTAGCTCTTCCTGCCCTGGAGACGTCACTCGGGGTACAAGTCACTGTGTGTTTACACCTTCAGGTCCCTCATGTGTGAAATGGATAATAGTGTGTGCTTTGTTTTTTGAGAAGATAGACTGAGAAAAAAGTGTATATGGAAGCATTTGTGAAGCTGAAGTCTGAGATGGTTTTGTCATCATCATATTATTATGAGAAGGAGGTTCTATATCAAAGGGAGCTAGGCGGTATAATATTAGCTAACTTGTCTCTTAAGAACATCCCTAATCTCATGTTCTGGTGATTTGGGGCAGGGTTTACGCTCTCACTATCTGCCTTAATAGAAGACTGTTATTAAAATCCTTTAGGTTCTTGCTTTTACTTATA